ATAGAAGAAGAAAGAAGGGCCCTAGTAAGTGAGCTGGAGAAGATCAACCAGCACCAATTAAGTAATGGGCCTGCCTTTGTTCTTTAACCTCTCATCCCATCTCACCCCGTTAACTTGAGGGAGTCATAGTAGCACAGTGATTGCAAGAAGAGAAGAAGTTAGATCAGGGAGTTGAAAGAGCAGGTCATGGACACCTTCTTCTCCACAAGTGGTCTGAGAAATTCCTAAATAAGCCTGAGGGTGAAGACAGGGTGCAAGAGGGGGAAGATCAGGAAAAGCATTCAATTGGATATGCAATGAAAGTGCTGATTGATTTTGGATTTTCTTTAAATACCTGCAAATCAGACTTTTCTTGCACTGTGAACCATCCTTAAATAACAACAGGGGGTGGAAAAAGGCAGATCCTTCATTGGTTTGAAGAGCAGGAGTGGGAAAAAGAAACTTTTCAGATGGTGCTCCACCAAGTTCAGTCCATCCAGTGTACCCATTGCCATGATGATAAATGGAGGATAAAAATTTAGACAGTGATCATTCTATGAATAAAAATAGCCCAGGGTGACATTGAGGGTGGCTTGAAGGCTGGGACAATGCACCTAGGTAGAGAGACTAGTAAGTGCACAAGCCCTCAGGACAAAATGAATTGGTGGGAAGGGTCCTGGAAGGGAGGAGCCAAGGCATTCCAGGAACAGAGAAGAGAAGAAGCTTGGGAGGCTGGAACTGGAACAGAAATGAAGCTAGGGAGGGACTTGTGATGAAAGGTTTTCCTCTGGACTAGATCTTTTAGGGCATTAAAGGGCAAGATGAGAGATTGAAGTCCATGTGCAATTTAGCTAGTAGCGGTTGTAAAGAAAGAAATTAAAGACTTCATTTAATTTATGTTATTAAACCTCTGGAAATGTTTCTTCCCTTGCAAGAAAATAATAAACATATACATTATATTTAAATGCTGAAAATATCTTACCTTTGTTTTGAAATGTATATAGGTATTCAAATTTCCTCTGAAAAGGTTTATAACTTGCAAAATTCAATACACCTGGTTGTACATATTTTAAAATAGTATTCCAATCTTATGTGAATATTTGAATTTTTTCATTATTCTAAATTCCAGCATCTTATGAATGTCCTTCCTGTTTTAAAATCTTTACTTATATTCCACAGTATTAAATATGCATAATTTAATCCTTTTTCGAAGGAGTCTGAGAAATGAAAGCAATTTTTTAAACAGCCATTATTTAGCTAAAATACTCATATTTCTTAAGTACAAGCAAGAGAAAGATGTTGGATACCTTATAAAGGATTGCTCTCTATTGTTGAACTTAAAACAGCACATGTGAAGATGAAAGCCTTAGAAGTCACCAAGTGCAGTCATTACTATTTTATTTGAGTTTCAAAGAAAATCAGTCAAAACTGATTTGTGTTTAATTCTAAACATAAATTCACCTTAAAACCTTACTCATCAAAGTGAAGAAATATGCCCTTGTCAAGACAGATACTAACCAAATATGTCAAACTTTTTTATAGATAAAATATTCACAGAAATTTAACTGACTTTCTCCTTCCGCCTGAATGAGTTATTTACCATAAAATGGAATGGGGGTGGCATGATACCTTAGACAACAAGACAATTAATCATTTTTGTAGATGTGATTATCTTTTACATTTTATTTTGTGTTATTTGTTCAAGATGGTTATGCATTTCTGTAATTATATGACGGGTCTTCAAAAAGTTCATGGAAAGATTCATATTATCTTTTAATTCTATTATTCCATGAACTTCTTGAAGTACCAGTGTATAGATAACACAATGGAGGTGTTCCAAGAATACATTTATAATCTTTGATAGTTTCATAAAATGATGAATGATAAAAATTTCTCCTTTTTAACTTACTAAACATAACAAATATTTTAAAAAATCTACTTTTATAACCTTAAGAAATATTGATACTTAGAAAATTAACCTTGTATAAATTATTTTGACAATATTTTTGGCAGGTGGAAATTTAAAATAAAATGTATCTATATAATGCCATATTTTAAAGGTGTCATTTAGAGATTTTTATCTATTTAAACTTGGAAGAAAATAATATTCAAACCCTAATTAAATCTAGAAATTATTATTTTTTAATATTAGAGTTAAATTTGAAATGTTTTCAACCATACTAGAAGTACAGCACCATTAATTTGAATCTTAAAGCTTCTGGCTATAATGAAACATTCATTTCTATTCAGTCTTGCTGTTTTTGAGACTCTAGGTAACTCAGTTCAAGGGATTCTCAAGAGATTGCAGTGCCAATAGCTCTAAGCATCTGATTATTGCTTTCTGGAAGGCTGCTCTGTGAAGGATTCTGGGGATGTGTCCAGACCTATTGGATAAGAGTGAAGTGATCAGTTAGTGATACTTGCCCTTGATAAGGAAAGGATGCCAAGGAGGAGCTGTGACATAAGCGCCTCATAGCTCCGTCCTTATTTCCTACTCTTAAGGTCCGGTCAACGATACAATGTTATAACACCTTCGTGACACGAGAGCAAGCTCCTGTTAGATGGGTTGTAGTTCACAGAGAAAATAGTAGGTTTAAAGTAAATTTGTTTTATTTCGTGTTCAAGGTTTGTGTGTGATAAGACCTACAACACTTCTGTATTTGGGTATTCAATTCCTCTTTAGATAAGGATGTTTCAATGTGCAGGACCCAACCTGGGAGTGGGTCAAAACCAGCATTATTTTTTAAGAAACAGAATAGAATAAGTTTAAGATAATAGTAGAATGTATCAGAGAACATCGCATGTGTTAAAGGTAGAGATTGTCTTATGAAACTTTTGTGATATGTGAATATGAACCAAATGTTGATGTAAGATGAATTATTCCGGTTTGCGGTTAAAACATTTTAAAAACTAGTGGTTTAGATCCTAGCATTCTTCTGTGAAGAAGCTGAGCACTTTCTTGAACTGATACTGGTCTTCTCTGAAGAATGTATAAGTAGTTGATACAGTTTTGGATATGCTTGTCCCTGCTAAAGTCCATGTTGAAATCTGATCCCCATTGTGGCAGTGTTGGGAGGTGTTTGGGTCATGGGGGCAGATCCCTCATGAATAGATTAATGCCCTCCCTGAGGGGGAAGGGTAGTGACTGAGTTCTTGTTCTACTAGTTCCCACAAGAGCTGGTTATTAAAAGGACACTGGCACCTCTCTCTCTCTTGCTTCCTCTGACCACGTGATCTTCTTGCACCCCCACCTGCCTGCTGCTTTCTGCCATAAGTAGCTGTGCCAGAATCGTGAGCCAAATAAACTTTTTCTCTTTTTAATTACCCAATCTCAGGTGTTCTGTTATAGCAACACAAAAATGGCCTAATACAGTAATAGACCAGGAAAAATGTCTAGGCCAAAATGTAGCATTCCAATTTTCTGTCATAAGCCCTGGGTGACATTTTTAGGCCAATATATGATTGATGATACTTGCAATTACAGCATCTTCCTTTCCTAGTTTTTGATTCATTTGACCCTTGGAAACTTTTAAGGAGGCTAAATTCTATAATAGTTTTATAAAATATGTTAGGCTGCCTAGGAAATTAAACTCCATGAAATAATGCCATTGTCGAGTTTTTTGCATTTTATATTTTAATTTTTCCTTTTTTATAATTATAAGCATTGGATATTTTGCTGTAGGAATTTAAATTACCATTTATTTTAAGGATTCATGATTCTAATATCTCCTGAAACCATTGCAGATGAGTGTTTTCCATTGCATTTGTAATTAAAACTGATTTCTAATAAATGTAATCTGCTCTAATCTAATTGTTAACTCATATATATCCTTGATTTCCATTTTCCCTCACCAGATGTTGTTCACCACTTTAAATGTTATTTCCATTCCCCTAAAATACAGCATCTACCCACTCATTTATTTATTACAGAGGTTATCAAGCAAATATTCTGTGGACTAGGTACTACGAAGCAGCCACGGACAAAGCTGTAACGTTTTTCTTGAAGACATGTCCCCACCAGCTTAGCATCAAAGTTTTCTTGTCACACTTGTAATGTGATTTGATAAATTTTAAAATATCTCCATATTTCAAAGTACATCCATTACCAAACTTTGATTTATGACTGAATTGCCCAGTATTCTCCATTTCTTTAGGTTGAGGCATTACAGGTAACTGACCTTTGTTAAAATTGAGATATGTCCTGTCTATTAATTACCTTTACTACATTTGCTTCGATTAATAGCTTTCGATGTAGTGGAGATCATGGCTGTAATGGGATGAAGCATAAGTCATAAGCTAGGATGGTTCAGGATGAGGATCAGGAAATGTCTTGCAACTCGAAGAGTGCCTTTCAGGAATGAGTGGATTTAACTTGGGGATAGGACAGGAGAAAAAAGAACAGAAGGAAGAAATCTAAACAGTAAGGTAAAGGTATCATCAGCAGAATTTTACTTCTTAGTTTAGGTTGTCCCTCCTATTTGATGCTAATGTATAGGGCTCCTTAAAGTGTGTCCTCTGGATCAGCAGCATCAGCAGCAGCCACATGTGCGGACTTTTTAGAAATGTGAATTTTAGACCCCATCCCAGGTCTACTGAATCAGAATCTCTAGTGTAGAGGAGTGGTGGGGCAGGAATCTGTGTTTTAGCAGTCTTTTCAGGTGATTCTTACATGTAATAAAGGTTGAGTGCCACTGGTAGAGTAAACACTGAAAAATGGATCTTATGGTAATAATGGCACTGATGAAAAACACATTTTAAATGTAACTTCACAAATAGTTTCCTTAGCATTTACTTATATGCGCCTCTGTGAAGTATTTGTTGTTGAAGAACATAATGTTACCATTTACCAAGATTAATCAAGGAAAACATATGAGAGACTAAAAGCTGGAGAGATACATTCAATCATGGATCAAAGAAAAAAATAAAAGACAGTCTTATACTTTTCTTTACATTTGCTTCCATAAAACATTGACTGTATGCTAATACTAAAAGCTGGTTATATATTTTTTCTGTAATTCTAGGACACCATCTGCATTGAAATACCTCTCTTTAACCCAAAAGACAGAATTATTTGCTTAGATGTGAAATTAACAAATGCTGCCCTTTATGGATTCAAGGAAATTATACTGAGACCTCTAGAATGTTTCAACTATGTTGTACAGTATACTCCAGCAGCTACGGGCTGTATAGATGAAAGGTATCATTTGAGTGTGATATTATATTTCATTGTTGGTTCTTAGAAATTTAGCTTTTAAGATAATTATTTCTTCACATGCTGTAATCATTAAAATTACATTTGCTCATAGTTTTAGCTTTGTTTGATACTATTCCCTGATAAAATGTTTTAATTTAGAGTTAGCTTTTGTTTGCTTCAGTGAAAAAATTTTGTTTATTGGAATATAAAATTAAATAATTCCTGAAGTTTGACTTTTACCTCCTCTTTCATTTCACTTTTTACTAACTAGATTTTCTGGGTGAAAAAAAAGAACTGAAACAAACGAAAATGATTTAATGAGGACTGGGGATTAAACATCAATTCCCTTGATGAAAATTAATTTATATATATTTTACTCTCAATTAAATAGAAATCATTCAGATGGAAGACAGAAAAAATTGAGGATGTTATACTATGCTGAAAACATACACACAAATATTAGCAGTGTAATGACAAGTGTTTGCATAGCATAATTATGAGAAACTTTCTTTGCACTATATATTCACATACATGCACACAAAAAAATATGGCCTCTATGTTCATAATTAACTCAATAATTTATTAAAATAATCAACTTTGGGGCCAGCCCGGTGGCGCACTGGATAGTGCGCCGCTTGGGAAGCGCGGCAGCGCTCCCCTCCGAGGGTTCGGATCCCATATGCAGACCGGTTCCCGCTCACTGGCTGAGCGAGGCGCGGGAGCAACTCCGAGGCTTGCG